TTTCTTTTACTCCACCAGAATAGGTAAAATGAAGTGAGAATTTAAATAAGAGCGAGAATATGGCAACCTCAGCCCCTCTTAGTGAAAACTCCTCTACTGTGCGCTTTTAACGTTGCTGGTATTAGCTGGTAAGTTTGGCTGCGATTGAAAATTTAGTTGGCATTCGTGGTACAGTAGAATCAGTTCTTTAAACTTAAAATCATAAATACTTAAAAATCGCTGTTGCCTGTCTTTCCCACAAGAAGTGGAAGTTATTTTTGTAACTGCTTTAGTCCTGTAACTTTACGTAGAAGTTTAAATAAATTCTTTATTTTTTTACACTGTTTGGTTTATTCAGTGTTGTAAGGTTAAGACGGCTGAAAACTCGTCCAGTACTCCAGTAGGTGTCTAATTTAGGCTGAGTTGAGTGTAACATTGTAATCTGAAAAACTTAAAAATACAGCCTAACAATTAGAAAATGATTATTAAAAGAAAAAAGGAAAGAAAAAGGTAAGAAAGTAAACTAGAAAAATTACAAAATTTAAAATACAAGGATTGGATAAAATGTAGTGGCAACGCGTCGATAGTTCCAAAAGACTGTATTATTATCAATACAAACACTTGACGTCTTTCAATATAATCCCTTGTCATCTCTACTGCTTTTTTATTAAGTTACTGGAAAGTTATACTATTAGGATGTCTACTTCTACTGATATCTTGCAGTAATCGTCATACAGCACGAATGACCTTTATTCTACTGTCATAATGGATCCCTCGAAGTGGTGTTTTCATTATGCCGAAGAGATCATAGTAGCAGGATGAATATGGGTTGGTATTCCAATACCTCCCATCACCACCATCGCAGAAGATCCATATATCACAATATGGCACTGTGCATTGTCATGGAGGATTCGTCGTTTGAGACATCACCAACGTCCAATACTCAGGACAAAGCAACGACATTTGATGCCGTGGCGTTTCGGTTTTCTTTATCCCTTGACAACGTTCGCATAATGAGATTGTTCATTGTCGTAGAAGATGATGGAATTCCTTACCAACAAGTGTTGTCGTTTTCTTCTGAGTGCTGAGTGGCAGATGATGTCTCAGCGGGCAAATCTAGTTTACTTCAATGGTAACTGAGATGCAAAAGTACGACAGCTATCATGGACCTCCTGCGACGGTACAATGGGAATTACTGGAACGACCTCCTTACTCATTCCATACGAATCCATGTAACTATAATCTCTTCACTAAATCAGAATCATGACAGGAGATTAACTATAATTTTAAAGGCGGAAGATTATCCGTATTATAGAGAGGTCTTGGACATTGACAGACAGAAGTGACGTGCTGTGATAGACGATGCCTTCCAGTGACATGGTAGATAATTATATTAATGGAATATACGTAATATTTGAATCTATGGTAATAAAATCTTCTCGCAACTTTCGATGCATTTCTATTACTTTTTTATCCAGTTCTTACTGTATCCTGTTTACCGTAATTTGATCTTTATTTTCAAGTTTCAATTTAAATTCTTAGATTCTTTTATGTTAAACCGCACTGTTTTAAGAATTAAGTCTCAGAAATTGAAAATACTGACAAGATGTACGCATGAAAATTATCTTGTGGATAACTGAACAATATTATCATAAAATACACTGAACCTGAGATATTATTACAATACAAAACATAAATTTGGTTTAAAAACAAAACCACTCCAAGTAATATAAAAACTCTACATCAGGTTTGCTGGCAATGCGATAGAAATACAGTACAAGAATAATGCCAACATAAAGATATGAAAAATTTCTAATTCCAAAAACCACATTCATTCAAAAATAAGTCAAACATTCAAAAATAAGTCAAAGAAAATTATTATAAAATACTGCCTTAAATGCACATTTTACAATAGAGAACTCAAGTAAAACCAATCAAATTCACAAAACAGGTCAACTATTCAATTCAGAAAAGTGCAAAAAAGGTATACAAAATAATTATTCTAGATTAGGTTTGCTGGCATCGCTAAGACAAATGCAATACTAGAAAAAATGCCGACATAAAATTTTACAGAATTTCAAAATCAAATACAAAATGCATTCAAGATTAAAGTAAAGAAAATTAATATAAAATAACTATCATGAATGCAAATTTTTATAATAGAATGCACAATTAATGCCTATCAAATTCACCAAAGTGAATCAATTCAATTACAAAAGAACGCATTAAAATATGCAAAATAATAAAATTGTCACAAAAATTTTCTGTTAAATTTAATTAACAGTTACAAAACTGAACAAAATAATCATGATATATATATATGATTAAGAACGATTTCAGTACCATACAACAATACTATGTGCATCACAAATAAAACCGACTATTTGTACAATATAAGAAAGTATAATAGGCTACAAGTAACCGTTACAATTTATAAGAGCATAGATGCATTCAATGTCAGATACGTCTGTTCTACGTAAAACCATTTCTAATTTTAAATCAGTAACATAAGTAGTGGAAACAACAAAACTGAACAATAATAAGCATCAAACACACAAAGTTAAACAATTACCATTATACAGTAAAAATCTAACAGTCGCTGAAAGTCAATTACTCACTCCCAATAGATCTGAGAGAATTATTTACAGAAAAATTTAATTCCTGACAGAAAAGCATAATTTCCTTAAATTTCTTACTCTCACTAGAGTTTTTTAATATCAATTCAGCCCATTTTGGCCTGTGTTGATCTAAAGGTTTATTCAAGTGAAGGTTTTTAGTAAATGGACAGTGAAAGATAAAGTGTTCAGGGTCTCCCAACTCCCCGCAAGAAACAAAGCTCAGTCGTACGTAGTCCAAATCGAAAGAGATATGTATTAAAAGGTCCATGACCAGTGAAAAAATTGAGTATAAAAATTCGATGTGCTTCTTTGACTGAGTGAAACTTTTGGAAAGAAAGAGAAGACTCGTCTTCCTGTGGAGTCATTAGTCCATCTTTCCTGCCATTTCACAAGCAGTGTATTTAAAGTCTCGCTCTTCAAGTGTGAAAAAGGCAATTTCGTTGGATTTTCAATTCCGTTGATATCATTAGCAGCCCATTTAGCTAAAGTATCTGCTTCTTCGTTGCCCAGTATGCCAACATGAGCTGGCACCCAGGTAAGAAGTGGTCTTTCAGATGAATTAAATCTTAGCAATTTCTCTTGAATAACTTGTACAATCGGATTTCTATTCGTAATGTCTGAGATAGATAGCCTGCAGACTAGATAATGAATCACTGAAGATCTTAGTCTTGCCCGATAGATTTCTTTTAACATAAGTGAGAGCAGCGTTTATCGCTAAAAGTTCTGCCTGAAAAACAGTATTTCTGTTATCAAGCCTTCGAGTCCATGTATATACCTTTTGAGTATTGTTAAATACACAAAATGCACAACCTGTTCCACGTTCAGTTTTAGAACCATCTGTAAATAGAGCAATGTCATTGGCTACTGGAGCCGTATAGTATAAATTGACTGCAGATTTGAGTTTTAAAGAGGCAGGATGGCCAAGATTAGATGGAACCCGTAGTTCATAATCATTTACTAGGTGATGTTGGTTCCATAAATCCCCATTCAATCGTAATCGTAGGATCCGTCCTAAGAAAGAGTCTCTTGTGAGCCTCTGCAAGAGGGTTGGTTCCTATAACAGGAACCCACGTGGACCAGCCTTCTTTGTCATATTCTTTTATTTTATTGGAAAATTTCATTATCCAGGGTTTTTATATTTCGAATTTTTGCGTTGTTCTTAAATAATTTCGAATTAAATTCAAAATTTCTTACAGGGCAGTTTGCGCTATCCAATGCATCAATTTATGTCAGGCCACCAGACCGTGTCAAATGCACCACGTATATCAATGGAGATGATTAACGTGTGCCTGTTACCATCCCTGTTGCGTTTTACTGTGTTTAGCAGATTAAAAACAGCCATTTCAGTTGAAACCCCCTTTTTAAATCCAAATTGAAAGTCGCTGATCACTTTATTTTCAGTTAGAAAATAATTTAGTCTGTTCAATATTAATTTTTCAAAGAGTTTATTTAAAGAAGAAAAAGAAGACTCACTGGTCTATAAGAAGACAAAATAGCAGGATCTTTACCTTTTTTGCCAAATAAAACTATTTCGGCAATTTTCATCTGCCGTGGAAATAAAGCCAATTTCCAACATGCTCGATATAAAGATAACAACAATTGGGGGAATTCTTTGAAAAGTATCTTTATGATAATATTATCAAGACCGTCTGGTCCGGGGGCCTTCTTAGACGGTAGAGAACGAATTGTATTTTCTAACTCCTCAAGCTCCAGGAGGGCAGAGTCACTTAAAGTAGAATTCCAAGTTTGATTTTTAAATTTTTCTCGCATTACTTTATGTAAATCCATATCGTCAATCTCCAAATCCAATGGAAATAACTCATCTAAAATTTTTTTTATATTTCTCTCCCAGAGAAGTACAGTCCGGAGCTACCTCTACTGGCAGCTGAAGAGGTCGAAATACTCTGTCCACTGCAATCTTTTGAGTGATGCCATAAGGATTTTCAATAGCAGCACAAAATGCCTTCCAAGATTCACTTTTTGTCTTTATAATCAATCTTTTAAAAATTGCTAGTTCCTTCTTATAAGAAATTTTAAGTGAATGCCTTATATTGTCATCCCTTTCTTTTTGCATACGTCTCCTTAAAGCACGAACTTTGTTCCTTTTTATTGTGAGCGAGTCAGACCACCATGATGTAGAGGTTTTAATCCGTACTCTTTTCGACTTATAGGACGCTGTTGCTGCATCCATCAATGAACCAATAAAAAAGTCGTAGTTATTTTCTAAATCCTCTCGAGAAGTATTAGATTCAAATAAATTTATAAATTGAGAAATTCGTGGACGAAGTTTCTCAATAAATTTTTCATGTCCACCATATGAAGTTTTAAATCTACGTTTCAAAATTATGTCTTCCGAGATTCCAATTTCAAACAAAATAATTTGATGATCACTAATAGACAAACCTGTCAACACCCTCCAATTTGTAATAGAAATTGCAAAAGGAGATGAAGCTAATGTAATATCAGGCCAACCCTTGGCTCTGACAGTCAAGAATGTTGGCTCTGAATCGGAGGAATTAAGAACACACAGTCTGTTTTCGTGGATAAAATCAAGAACTTTAGCAGCCCTATGATCTTCTTGATTTCCACCCCAAAGAGGACTCGTAGCATTAAAATCACCCGCAATAAGCAAATGATCATTATGAATAATATGTGAACAAAGTTCGGTTAAATTGCTATCTAAATCGGCCGTCGGTGGAAAATAAACGTTAGTAATATTAATACTTCTATTGATAAATTGCAAGCGAATTGTCACTGCATCTAAAGTTCTCGCCACAAAAAATGGATTTAGAGGGCCGTTATATATTATCAACGCTTTAAAAGAACCAGAAAAGAATATCTTACTACAGTTTGGTAATCCAATGATCTTGCCATCTTTGACATAAGGTTCTTGTAAGAGAGCGAGCTGTATTTCATTTCTAATCATAAAATCAATAAAATTTAAAGTAGCTGCCCTTGATCTCTGTAAATTTACTTGTGCACAAGTCAGACCCGAGATGCTCTGAGTAACAGGTATGTTCATTGAGCCTGTCACTTCTGAGTGTTGCTGAGGCGAAGAATCTCCTGCCTGTATAGCGGACATTGTGATGAGCTAGCCTGATGTGATGTCTCGTACTTCGTTCCTGCAGAGGCGTTGGAGTGAGTACAATTGACGCAATTTGCAATGCTTTCGGAGCACTCCTGAGTAAGGTGGCCCTTCCCGCACTTTGCACAGGCCGGTGGATTTTTGCAAATTAGACTTAAATGACCAAAGGCTTGACAGTGATAACAACGCGTCACTTTATGAAATTCTCGAAAGAAGCACGATGCGAAACCAATATAGACTCTCTTCAGGTCCTTCAACAATTGTGCCTGTTCTCTAGACACCTCAACAAGCCAGTTGCACGTACCGTCTGTTCTGGATCTGGGTTCCCTTGGAAAAACAAAATTCTTCTCACCTGATGATAAGAGTTCTTGAAAAGCAATTTGTAGTTCCTCAGAAGTAGTATCCTGAGGAACCCCAAAAACTATGAAAGACACTCTTGGTAGTCTTGGAATTCTCAGGTCCAAATGTTCCTTCAAATCCGAGTTTTCCAAAATGGCTTTTTTCAATGTCACCAATTGCTCTTCCCCTTTACAACGAACAAGTAACTCTTTGGCTCTTGTTGGACGAACTTGTAAAATATTTACTCCGAGCCTTTGCGGTTTAATATTCTGAACTAATTGCGTCTTAATACTGTTTGGCGATCTACTTGTATCTTTAGCCTTGATAATCAAAACGTGATCCTGTTGAGCTGGAATCTTCCTTACCTGTGAAGGCTTCGAAGTGAGCCTAACAATTTCTGCAGAAGATAACTCCGAATTCACTTTATCAAATTTACCGTCTAAACTATGTGAATGACAAGCCTGTAAATCGGACGCTATTTCCGAATGTGGTAAGACAGTGGCTTGGTCAAGCTGTGTTAACTGATTAAATTTTAACTCAAGTTCCAAAAGTCTTTTTTCCAACAAAGAATTCTTTTCCTCCAATGAAGAGACTCTTTCCTTCAAGCAGGCGTTAAAACCTTCCAGGTGAGCTATGTATAATTCACGTTTGTTTGAATGTGATCTGATATTGCTTACAAACTTTTTAAGTTTCGCTGCATCTTTATTATTTAATTTATGTTTTGCATTGGCATCAACTAAAAATGCTAAGATACCGTCATAGGATTCATTAATAAATGATAGATGATTCCCAGTTACCTTTTCTGGAGCCAAATCTTGTACAGAGCCAGGAGAAGATTCAAAGACTGAAGAAACTGAATGTGCCGGAGAAAGCGTAACATTAGAATGAGACATTTTATTATAATTCTATAAAATGGGCTTTTCTGCAGAGGGAGTTACTATATAATCATAAAAACCTTAAACATATGACTTAAAAGTGAAACAGAAATACTGTAATCACTAGTTTTAATCATAAATTATGTATCTACCTCTAAATAATGAAGCACTAATAACTTATTTCTCCTCCCTTTCCGCATGCCTTCGTGGTGTAACTGGAAACATGCTCTACGCGTGCTCAGAAGATCCGGAGTTCGAATTCCTTCAAGGACAGTTGCGAATTTTTTCAGTTTTTTGACTTTGGAATAAAAAAGTTCTAATGACTCTACAAGTGGCGCTCAAACTAAAAGAAGGTGGACGATAATTCGTCACCTCCAGGCTTTGGGAATTGGGTCCCTTTAAAGGGGAGGTTATTTAATTCTCGCATATGTGGAAGCGCAGGTGACAGGTGAGAGCAGGGTCTGGATACCCGGGCGATTTTCACTGACTATTCGGGTATCGTCCGAATCCCACAACTGTCCAGAAAAAGCAGTAATTTAATAGCTCTTTCAATCCTAAACTGTAAAACCTTTTTGGAGAGTGTATTCTCGGCTTAAGCGGTCTAATGTTTAGGGGGCCGGTGACTTGAGTCAGGTTTCTAGGCCCACCGAATTCCCAGATGACCGTATCGTCGTGCTCAGATTGGCTTAGATAGAAAAGAAAGGAGCCGTGACTTGTTAAAACAGAATAAGAGTTGCTGGCTGAGCTCTGACTTTCTGAAGTTTGCAGTTGTATCCTAATTTTTCGGTATCAGTCGACTGGTTGGCCTATCAATTGCAGCTGAATTCCAGTGTTCCTGCCACTGCGCAAGAAGACTCCTACAGGTGGATATTTTTAGAAATGTGACTGTAGTGAAACGGAATGCTTTAGAACGGGTATGTCATCAGCCGCATTATTTGCAATTACATATACCTGCACATTTTTCAGAATACTAGTGTGAACTTTCACCTAGCGTAGAGTAGGTCTCTTACAGGCAAAGCACGGAAGCAGTATTTTATGTATTTGGAAAGCTAAGCGACTATGGCAAAAAAGGTTAGTCGCAATCTGTACATTTTATCTTAGAGACATCTATGTGCAAGGACATAGATATCTTGCTGGAGATGTGATGATATATATTATATATATACATATATGTGTAATAATAAAGATTTTGCAGCATTGATGGTGTAGAATGTAGAAGGTTGAATCCGTAATGAAGAGTAAGAATTTTGATTGCGCAGAATTCTAATCCATAATGAATAAAAAACTGACAGCCAAGGCAGATTAAATATTAATTTCATTTTCCGTAAATATGTTGCGGCCACAAACAACTTGGCACATTATTTGTACCTATTTAAAAATGTTTACGTTTTTGATAGATTTGCAATAAATAAAGGCCAGCTAGCTTCCGCCAGCTGCATTGCTGTCTCTGCAGCAGAGAGCAATCCATCTAGGCGGAAGAGTAGCAAGCGAAAGCGCTATTTTCAGGATGAAATCTTTATTCAGACTGAGTTAGTTTTGGTTCGCAATGCATTTTGATTAGATCATTCCATCTGTATTCCACATCATCAATATTGCAAAGTCTTTTTATTATTACAGTAAATCGACGAGGATTGGACCTGTGCGATTCCTATCACTTTTTTTGCATAACTAATGAAGCGCATTTTGACGCAAGTCTGTGCCATGCTTATTTATAATTCCCGCTGTTCAAAATGCTTCAGAATTTGTTTTATTATATATATATGTTTGTAATTATTTTGGATGGATTTCGACACAGATGTTGTAAGAAATACTTTATTATGAAATATTTAGATTAATGTAATACATAATAAATTTACTAAATTACATTTTTTATAATATTTTGATAATTATATGATTTTCTTTGACCTTTAAGAGATGGATTTTACTAAACCGCAAAAGGTTGTAATCTTCTCATCATTTTTCGCATTGTAAAACAGGTTCGTCGCAAAGGCAGTTTCCCAGACTTTTCCTCAAATGTGACGTAGATGTAAGGGAATTCTCTTGGAAAATCCTTCACAGTAACTTGCATTAATTTATTCTTTCATTCGAGACAACAATAAATAATAGGCGGGTTGGCTTTCAAGAAGCCCAATACAGCGTTTTTTTTTTTATTTATTTTTAGCAAGTTCTGTAGTTTTTTTTTTTTTTTTTTTTTTTTAAGAATTGCATGTAGCATGTAGTCAGAAAAATAAATTTTCGTCATTTTCCGTGATTTCATAAAAACAACAGAAGGAGTAATATAGCAATAAAACAATGAATAATTAATTAATGAGATATAAAATAACAAACTTGAATTCAAGGCTTTCGATAAAGATAGATGTTTATTTTCTTAACTATTTCCATAGATGTCTAATTGAACTGAATTTTTTTTAGAATATTAATTTTATCTCAATAGTCTCAACGCTGTAGATCAGATGATTCTTTAAAAATAAAATGTAATGCGATATGGTCTCAATAATATAAAAACATGTAATATTTAAGCTTATGAGTTTAAATAATGATTCCACACACGCATGTACACATAAATACACACACACACACACACGTGTCCAATTCCAGAACATTCAGAATTTCGATACTATACGGGTAGAAGCTATCATAGCAGCACACAGATGATTGCAGCAAACCGTTTTAACAGAATGAAAGCTTAAGCCAAAAGAGAAAGAGTGTCGCAGTAGTAATGCAGAGGAAGAAGAGAGGGAGTGAAAGTTTTGGTTTACGAATTAGTTTAATTGGGAAAGAGATATCTACATTATGGGTTACGTAAGATCACATGATTAATTTGAATGACGCAGTTTAGATTGACAGCACTATTTTTTAGACACAGAGAGATGAATCCACAAATTAAATGACTAATAAAAGAGGTTATAAACAATATATATATATATATATATATATATGAAGTTCAGCCTTAAGTACTATAGCATTTGTTTTTAAATTTCTAGCTGGCTTCTTAAAATAAATATAAAGTATATCGCTGCCAGTTTTGTGGGTAAAAGGATGGAATTTTTTGTTTGTAAAGCAGTGGTCTTCAAATTGTATTCCGTGGAACCGTAGGATTTAAAACTTCTAGAAAACATTAATAATTTTTAAATCATTAATAATTTTTTGACTATGTGAAAGCCAAATGATGACCAAAGCTAAACCATGTTTTTATGTCTATTGTTGGTGTTATCGAAAACAATTGAAGTAAATTTGTTTTCACAAGTAAACGTATGAAGAAATGACAATTTTCTCTGCATTTTGAACATAAAGGGCACACTACTGATATATTTTCAATGCTTTTTAACACTTACTTTCTGAAGATGTTTGAGGGTGCATATAGAACAAAAAGTGTTTTATAGCTTCTCTGAGTAGATGAAATTTGAGCTATTTTAAAGCATGATGAATATTTGGCTTTTTTAAATAGAAATTTTGCTTTTTTTAAGACCATATATATAGTTCAGTTTAATGTTTACTCAGCCATACAACCCCACTATTAAAATTATTCTCATAAAGTTTTCTCATTTTATTTTTCATTACTTTTGCGTTCCGTTTTATTATTTTATTTATTTATTGAAAGTTGATAATACTAAATACAGGCTTCGGATCATTGCTAAGGAAACAGTACCGGTAGCTACAGTTTTTAAACACCTGCGTGTTTTGTTACATATAGAAAAATAGATTCCCTCGAAAATTCGATTC